AACAGCAGCAACTAAACACTCTGAATTCCTTAGGGTGGTGCCAGTCTCATCCTCTTAGTTTTCACATGCTCAGGATGCAGGCTGAGGAGATACTTGAGATTCTTCTCCCCCTCCCTATGACCTTGGACCTCCTCACTCAAGTCTTCCATCACACCAATATCATTTTCCATATGTGAAGATTTGCTGAAAGAATGGTTCTGAGCTGGAAAATATTTTAATGAACTAGAATTAAGCAGCATTGCTCCATCTATTCCAAGTTCAAAATAATTAGATGAATAGGGGAACAGTGTCATTGACATTATTTAATTATGTATTTATTCCACATTTATTCCAATACAGTCAAAAGACTCTCAGTGGTATACAGTATACTCCTATAAAAGATATCCACCATGGAATGTCCACGGTACAATAATAATAAACACAAATAATCCACATTAATGCTAAAAAATCAGAACATACAAAAACAATTGCATGATGTCACTTCATTAAATGATAATGGCCTGAGGGATAATATATAAATTTCATTATTAAATAAACTTCCCTCTGGAAGAGCTCTTCCTTAACCATGGGTGTAAAGCAATGTTGGGGCAAGTCTCATCAGTGGGTACTGTTCTGTAACAGGACACCTCCTCATGACCTCAGCCCCTCCCTTCATGGAACTTAGAAATCATCAGCCCTTTCTCCTGAGGTGGACATATTTAGATAATCAATTCTGGTTAGAGAAGACCCAATCTCACTTCCAAATCTGTGTCCCTGAAGAGAGAATATCATAACTTCATACACTGGATATGTAGTTCTGAAGAGGTCAGAATAGAATCTGTCACTAGACAGAGCAAAGCAAATCTCTTAGATAGCACATATGGGAAGGCAACAGCCCCAGTTGCTCCATTCTGATCTTAAGCCAGGCCTGGAATGGACATCTACAGGTTTTCAATAGAATGTACTTCCCCATGTAGATTTCCAAGTGGTTTTAGCTAAACAAGTATTACTCTTGTTGTACAATGACCTGAAGCTCTCTGTTATACTTTTGAAGGAAATGTCTGCATATAGGACCAAAATGCCAGCCTTGTGTATTCATTCTGAATGTCTGAAAAGGCCTTAAAAAAAGAAAATGTGCAGAAAGAAACAGTTCTTTACATATTTTTGGGATGACAGAAGACTGGCAAATTCAAAATTCTTTAAGTATCATATGATTTGGAACTTAATGATCAAACTAATCATTATCCATGACAGATGATTTTCTTTTTTCTTTTGTGAATGATCAGAATTCTAGTATTTGTGAAGGAAAAGCTTCATCTTTCACTTCCTAGGTCTCATCTGCACTCTTTCTGGTGAAACATTGACATTAATAAGACTCTACTTTGTATTAAGTGGGCACTATTAGTAAGATTCTATTTTGTATTAAGTGGACACATGTAATCAATATGTGGGATGATAGTTGGAAAGAGCAGGATTAGATTTTCTTCCCCCTATGCTGAAGTTGCAGTGCAAATCCCATAAGATAAAGATTTTCTTCAATCACAGTTGATTCCTGGTGATTTCATGGACACAAACTATCATGCAGCTTTGTTGGGCGACAGTATGAAAGTTGTTTGTACCTCCTTGTCTAGCATATAGATCTGGGATTTTCCTGGGGATCTCTCATCCAAGTTAGATGAGCTTTTTTGAGGTAATTCAAAATTGGCTAGGTACTGTCACTTTTGCCGGCTTACAAATCCCATATTCTGCCTGTAATGATTTATTTGCTAAATTGTAAGAGTAACATGAAGCCAGGCCCTGGTCTTTTATTCTATTTCTGAAGACCCTCAAACCCCCTTGAATCAGACTAATAACTTAGATAGATAGAGCAGTTCCATAACAAGGATTTTATAATTATGTTAAAAGAGTAATAATTTATCCAAAGTTTGTTTCCATAGCAAGTTAAGAAAGCTTCCCATTGGCCTGATCTGTGGCACTTTTCAAAGCATCTCTACAGAAATACATTGTTTGTGTCCTAGTGACAGTACATTTATAAAAACCCTTTGCTCTATTCTCTCTTGGTTTCCAGTTATATCAATACAGATTCCTTTAAAATTATATTAAAAAAATCCCCTCTCACCCCTATGGGTGGTATGTGTCTTCTTCAATCTCAGGTCCTCTACCAGAGGCCTGGGAG